TCCAACAGAATGCAGAAAGTATTAAACAATAGCATTAATATTGAAGTGCTCTGGTAGCATAGTTGTTACGAGTCAAGCTGCTAACTTCAAGGTCAGCAGTTCAAAACTACCAGCTGTTCTGTAGAAGAAAGATGAGGCTTTTGGGTCTCATAAAGATTTATAGCCTTGAAAACCCTATGCAGGGTTGCTATGAGTTGGAGCCAACTCCTTGGAACATAACCACCACAATCACCATAATTAATATCAGATGCAAATAAAAAAAATGTTTTTGAAGATAACTAAAAAACAGTTTCAGCATTATATTCACAGGGAGCTGCCAGATATTCAAGCAGGATTCTGAAGAGGATGTGGAACAAGGAATATTGCTGACACCAGATGGGTCTTGACTGCAAGCAGAGAATACCAGAAAGATGTTTACTTGTGCTTTCAACTGTGTGGATCATAACAAACTATGGCTAACATTGCAAAGAATGGGAATTCCAGGACACTAATGTGCTCACAAGAAACCTGTACATAGACCAACAAGCAGTCTTTGGAACTGAACAAGGGGATACTTTGTGGTTTAAAATTAGGAAAGGTATGTGCCACAGTTGTATCCTTTCACCATACTTACTCAGTCTGTATGCTGAGCAAAAATAATCCAAGAAGCTGGACTGCATGAAGAATTTAGCATCAGGATTAAAGGAAGACTCATTAACAACCTTCAGTATGCAGATGTCACAACCTTGCTTGCTGAAGCAATGAGGACGTGTAGACTACAGCCTTCAGTGTAGAATGCTTTTCAATGGAAAGAAAACGAAAATCCACACAATTGGACCAATAAACAACATCGTGATTGACAGAGAAAATAATGAAGTTGTCAAATGTTTCATTTTACTTGGATCCACAATCAACATTCATGGAAGCAAGCAGCAGTCAAGAAATCAAAGGAACTATTGCATTAGCCAAATCTTAGGTCAGAGAACTCTTTAACGTGTTACAGAACAAAGATGCCACTGTGAGGACTAATGTGTGCCTGACCCAAGCCATGGTATTTTCAATCACATCATATGCATTAAAATTTTGGATAATGAATAGTGAAGACTGGAGGAGAATGGATGCCTTTGAATTATGGTGTTAGTGAAGAAGAATAGTGAAAGTACCATGGACTGTCAGAGTACAAACAAATCTATGTTGGAAAAAGGACAGCCAGAATGCTCCTTAGAAACAATCATGGTGAGATTTGTCTCATGATTTTTGGATGTGTCATCAGGAGGGTCCTGCTTCTGGGAAAAGACCTAAGAGGGTTATCAAAAAAGAGGAAGACCTAAAATTAGATGGATTCACAAAGGACACAAACATAACGATTGTGAGTCTGGCACAGAATCAGGCAATGTTACCTTCTGTTGTGGTAGGGTCGCTATGAGATGGAACCCATTCAACCGCAGGCACCTAACAACAATCCTCCTCCCCACACCAGCATGTTCGATTTGGGATTGATGGTGAGGACGCGTTAGCTGAAGAGACTGTATATGTTTATTTTGTTATTTTTCTCTACACGCCCCCCTCCACACACACAAGTTCTGAGCACTAAACTCAGTACCTGGCACACAGCTAGTGTCCAAGTGATGGTTGGTATTAGTGATCTAGGATCCAGCTCTTTTGGCCTTCTCCTTGCCTTGTGAGCCGTTTCTGGAATGAAAGGTCCAACGGTGTTAGGGATATTTATCTGTTTATTCACTTTAGTATCCCCATTGCTCAAAACAGTGCTATGCACAGAAGAGATGGTCAATAATTAATTGTTGAATGAATGAACAAAAGACCTATAAGGGAAGCTACAGAGAAAACAGCCCTGTGGTCCAGGCAGCAGGCAAAAGAGCTGATTCTCAATTTCTCCCCTTCTCTCCTCGCCCCCTCCCGGAATGCTGAGTGCCCGGGAAGGAGGCGGAAATGAGCGTGCTCAACGACCCTCATGTCGAGTGTTTACTTAATTAGGACCTGTATCTCGGGGCTCATTTGTGTTTAACTGTCCGCCTAATGGCTTCATCTGGCTCCAGGCAGGCGCAGGGGAACTTTCCAGGCGAGGAGAGGCCCTGACACCCCGTCCCGTCTGGGGCCTCCGCCGCGCCTCACCTCGCCCCCGCAAGGCTATTTAACGTTCTTTCCAGCACCAACAGAGCCTTCAGTAGGAGCGGGAGGCGGAGCAGGAGCGCGTAGGCGCGGAGCTCAGCGAGCTGTCCCGTGGCTTTCCTGCGCGCTATCCATCCTCCATCACCATTTGCTGGTACCACAGGCTGGATTACCGAGCGCTCGCGTGATGCCAGATGCCAATTGTTCGCTTTACCCTCAGCCGTGAAATTGAAGGATTACAGTTTTTCCTAGTCATCATAGTTGAGGAGCGTGGAGGTGCTAGAAAGGAGGCGGCCAAATGAGCCGGATCCTAAAGAGAGAATACCAACCACAATTTGGGCACTAGCTGAGTTTAGCATTTGTTGTTGCCGTGTGCCGTTGAGTCGGTTCCAACTCATAGTGACCCTGTATAGGGTTTCCAAGGAGCGGCTAGTAGATTTGAACCACAGATTTTGCGGTTCAAACTGACCTTGGGGCTCAGTGCTTATCCTACAGCGCCACACCAGTTTTTAGAACGTGTTAATTTATTTAATCCACATCTATATGTATTAACTAAGCTCTGGTAACGTAGTGGTTACGAATGGGGCTGCAAACCTTAAGGTTAGCAGTTGGAAACTACTAGCTGCTCCGCGGGAGAAAGATGAAGCTTTCTGCTCCCGTAAAGATTTACAGCCTCGGAAACCCTCTACAGGGTCGCTAGGAGTGGGTTCTGACGGCACATACCCACCGCCACCATATATATTATTAACTAAAGAGCATCACAAACACTTACACGCTTGTCCAAACTTTGGTTCGAGCCCATCCAGAGACTTGGCAATTTGCTTCTGAAATGTTAAGTTTTGAACACCCTTATATAGCAGTTCATTCTGCACAAAGAGGTTAGTTACCATGAGTCAAAAATCCACTAAGAACACTTCAGAGGGTTCTTGTTAAATGCTGTCCAGTGGGTTTCACTCATAGTGACCTTATATAGGGTTTCTGAGGAGCAGCTGGTGGGTTAGAACCCCAGCTTTGAGGTTAGCAGTCCAGTGCTTACACTACAGCGGCACACTAGGACTCACCAACTGACAGATATAGAACTGAGGCCCAGAGGGGTTATTAAACTTGCCTGAGGACACAGCCCTAGTAAGTGGTGGAACCCAGGTTTGAACAGTGATTTGAACCTAGATGATCAGACTCCAGAAAGTTGGAGAGAAGACTCCCATTATCAGTGGCTAGGCTTAGCCACAGGCCTACTTAATGGGAAGGATGGGCGGGTCACCAGGTTAGATTTAGAGAGCCAAAGGATATAATTAGAAACTCCAGTTTTTAAACTCTTAGATCTGAGCTGAAGGAGTGGCGAGAAGGGTGAAGGGGTCAGGGCGGGGCTCTCAATGCAGCTGGGAGTTGGGGAGAGATTCATGAAGAAAGAAGGGAGGCTGCCCAGAGAAAAGCACTTCAGGTCTTTAATAGAGGAATGAGGGTTAAGGTCCAGCACCATCTCTTATACTGCAGGAACTGGTGTTGTTAAAGTGCCATTGACTTGATTCCGACTCTTAGAGACCCTGTATAGAGTCTCCGAGGAGTAGCTGGTGAGTTTGAACCATCGACCTTGAGGTTCAAACCAACCTTGTTGTCGAGTGCTTATCCTTCAGTGTCACACCTGGACTCCCAGGAAATGGGTGTTGTTGTTGTTAAGTGCCCTCGAGTCAGTTCCGACCCATAACGACCCTGTATAGGGTTTCCCAGGAGCGACTAGTGAGCTTGAACCGCCGATCTTGCAGCTCAAACCGACTTTGCAGTCCCGCGCATTATTTCACAGCACTATACTAGAACTCCCAGAAATGGGTAGGAGACCTTGTTTTGAAGCGTGAATTCCGGGGAAGGTTGCTTTGTACCGCTAGCACAGTATTTCAGATCTATAAAAACAGACACATTAAAAAAAAAAAAGTTCTTATTTACCGTTTACATAAAATTTACATAAAATTGGGGGATGCTGGAGATTATGCGGCTAATAACCACCCTCCCTACTTTGCAGTCTTTGGCACCACCACGGTTTCCAAAGTTTGGAACCTGTTGTTGAGGGCCATGGAGTCGGTGACGAGGCTGTAAATCTCTAAGCAGAAAGTCTCACCTTTCCCTCGTGGTACGGCTGGTGGGCTCTAACCGCCACCTTGTGGTTGGCAGTCCGGTGCTTATAGTAGTCACCGCGCTCCCTGGGACCTACGGTGAGTCATTTCTCTCCTAGCCTCCATTTACTCAACTGTGAAATGGGATTCTCCTGTAAATTGGAGGACTTTGTAACACATTCTCTACCGCGGTTCTTCGGAGATCGCTGCCAGTTTTAAACCCTGGGCCACTTGGGACGGGTCCGCGTGGGAGGTGGAGAATGGCAGAGGGCAGCCTCCCCTAGTGGGCCGGGGTGGGGTGGGCACACCGGTCTCCATCAAAGCGTTGGACAACAGACCGCCTCCGGGGAACATAAACCCCGCGTCTCTGTTTCCATTCAGCTTTTGATGCGTCTTCGTTGTAGCTGCGAGGCATAAAAGAGTTTTTCTCGGTGCTGCAGAGGTAACGTTGTGGCTTTAGCTTTTTGTTTTTCTCGAATTCGGAACTCAGAGGTTCTGCTGCGAGCCCTGCTGGGAGTAGCTCCAAGAAATCCGGGAGAACACAGAAGGTATCCGAGAAGGCAAGAGGAGCTCCACTAGCTTGTGGACCGCTCTGGCCGCGGCCCCACCTGCAAGGGGGCGGGGACTGGCGGCTCTGGGCCAATCAGCACTTACCTGCGCTCACCTGGCCCCCCTCACCCCCTCACCCCTAGCTTCGGTGAGCAGAGGAGCTCACAGGAACGCAGAGATCTTGCAGCGCACGGGTCCGCGGTGGTGGCAGCCTTTTCACTTCTCTTCCCAACCATGGGGATTCCTAGGGGACCTCTTGCGTCCCTTTTCTTGGTCGTCGTCCTCCAGGTACACTATTGCCTTGCCCATGCCCGGTCGGGACTGCTCCCTGGAGGGCGGGCGGGGTCCACACGCGGCGCTGGCGTCGAGGAGAGCGCGGGACTCGGCTCCAGGAGCTGAGATTGTCCGAGAAGCCCTGTAAATACTCTTCGGGGTGGGATGTGCAGGACTGGGCACGCCTGTGACCCAGCTCCTCTCGTTTTCCCTCTCCCCTCGGGTGCAGGTTTGCTGGCCGCGGTGCGCGGCCTCCGAGCCATGCCGGGCAGTGACCTTGAAGGTGGAGGGCGCGGAGCTGGAGCCCGGGCAAGTACTGGGAAAAGGTAAGACCCCCAGGGAGCCCGCCCGAGTGGAGCGCCAGGGCAGGGGCGGCATGTGGTCCCCTCCGGTGTGGCCAGAACGAAGCGTGTCAAGACTGGGTCAGGAAACTTAGGGCACCACTTCGGGGTCGGGGGTGGGGGGAAGCGCAGAACTAGGGGACGGAAATGTGGGTGACCCGGCGGCTGACAGAGAAGGCGGGAGAGCATAGCAATTCCTGCTGACCAGTTGCCTCCTTGTCCCGCATCCGCGGCTCACCTTGACCTCCCCCCCTCTTTCGCTGTGCCGGACGCCTGTTCCCCTCACCCAGTGCCGACGTGGGAAAGCTCCCCCGGCTGGCCCCAGCGGAGGAATGCACCGTCCACATTCCTTCTCCCACCCCCGCGCAGGTGTGGGGATGAGCTGTGCCCCGGGCAGCCCCCCTTCGCCCCTCTCGGGCCCCCTTTGTGAACCGTACTTTGTGACTCCGACAGACAGACGGGGTCTGTTTCTCTTCTCCTTGCTCCCTTCCCCCTCCCTCTTCTTCCCAGGCAGCTGGAATGCACTCTTAACCCTGCTCTTTCCGGAGGGTTTGCGCCCCTGCAGCCGGCCTGGGAACTGGGCCTGGCACACCTGGGCTAGACTGTCACGCATGGGGTACACAGGTTCTTGTGACTGAGATGTGAGTTCATTTAGTAACTTCGGGATGTTCCAAGTCTGCAGGTCTTGGACTCCGGAGTCGATGGATACAAGATCAAAGCTTCTTTTTGATCTCCTAGTTACTAGCTACCCCCCACAGTTAGAAAAACTTGAGAGTAGGGGGTCACTTGGTACAGAGAATCAGTGTATTAGGAGGCCCAGGCAGCTGCCTACCGTGGGGGGCCCTTCTATTCCAGATGGGGATGAGGAGGAGGATTCCTCCATAGAATCAAACCCAAATTCATTAACAGAGGTACTTAACCTGGGATCTTTGGATGTGATTCCAGAGGATCCTTAAATTGTGTGACAGAACTTTTAGGTGCATTTTTCTGGAGAGGGAATCCACAGTTTATCTGGCTTTCAAAACAATTAAGAACAGCTACCACCTAACATTTCTCTGATGCCTCCATCGTCATACCCCACCCCAGATAACAATTCCACAGCTTGGCTTGAATGGGATGAATGCTCTGTGATGAGGAAACAGAATAACTCTACTTTGTCCCTCCAAAAGAGGATTGGGGGATCTCGAGTCTTCTGTGGAAGCCTTACCCCACCTCCACTTTACCCAAATAACTCTGCAGACTGACAAAATAATTACCACTCAGGCTGGGCCAGACTTCTTAAACCCTCAGCTGTAGGGAGCTGAGGAGAGGCATGAAGAGGCCATGCCTCATAAACTTTAAATTCTTGCGCATGGCTTTATTACTGGCCGTCTAACAAACTGCAGCTCAGCCAACCTGTAAAAATGTTAACTCCACCAGGGCCCCAAATCCAATTCCTGCTTCCTAAGGAAGCTTTATTGCTAACCAGAACTTAGCCAGATTCTTAGCTCCCCTGTCCTCCCCCCTCCCCCCCCTCACACACACACCTCTCCATTGTCACATTCTCTAACTTCAGTTTCCAAGAGCAGGCTGTGGCTTTGAGTGTTGTCTGTGCCTTATATTTCTTACTGAAGCAAGAAATATCAGATTAACTGTCACTTCACTAGGCTTGAGGTTGTTGGGGGGAAGCGGTGATCAGGTTTTCGATTTCATGGTCCAGTTCACAAGTGCTTCCTGGTGACGTCAGGCATTTTAAACCTTTGAGGAAATTCAGGGGTTTTGGTGTCTAGTTTGATGGTTGTGAGAATCCTGTGCAGCGAGCCAGGAGTGCACCTGGGTTTTAAAACAAAGAGTGGGTTAATGTGCTTGGCTTACCTGGAGTCTCCCTGACCTGTGATTGGTTCTTAGAACAAATTTCCTGGGGAGGTGGGGCTGCAACCTTACCCCCCTTCCTGCTCATCTTTCTTTTGAGAAAAAATAAATTGCAACTCCCCACAACAATACAAAAATAAAGCATTTCTATTTCTCCCCTCTGGTCCTCAGCTTTTGACACCTTTCTACCTCCCTCTGTCATCTAGCTAGTTCCCCATCCTCCATACAACAGCAGCCACAGCCTGGGTTGCTGAAAGAAGTATCTTGAGGGTACATCCAGACTCTCAAGTTTGGCCAAGCAGACAAAGTTTCCATATTGCTAAGGAACAATTGCCCCTGTTGTTTGCCCCTGGGTCATGAATATCATTGGTGTCTATGAAGTTGAGCTCAAAGAAATTATCTGGTATAATTAATACCTTGTTTGTATGTGCATCTTTGTCTTCAAAGCCTTCTACAACTCTGAGCTTGCTTTATCCTCCTAACATTCTCTTGAAGCTGGTAAAGTAAATATTAAACAACTTGAGCACTTAATCTCTGAGTTGGGACTTCAGAAATCCTGCAGCCCAGCGCTGCCGGAGGTCACAATCTCCGATATGGCCTGTCTTTGTAAACTTAAAAAGAAGGAAGATCTTAAAGGTGGAGAAATGGGGGCATGACTTATTTGAGGGTTGTAGGTGCCTGCTCAAGACCTGGTCCCTAAAAGATGCCCACTAAATATTTGCATGAACTGTGACAAGCTGCTTAAGGACAGCCCATTTTACAGATAAAATGGAAGTGGATTGTGGCTTCACTGCTGTGGCCAGCTGGGACTTGACTACAAGTTTCTGACTGGTACTTTTAGTACCAGAAAATAGGAGGGGGAGTAGAATATGGGAGCCACTATTAATAACCACCTATCTATCCTAAGAGCACTCATTTATTGCTTTTTATTATAGGGTTTTTCAGAAATATTCCTGTAGAGGGAACAAACTTGGTGACAGAGGCCTGAGTCAGGTGAAGACGTGGCAAAGAATGAGGTTACTTTGGAAAGGAAGGGAGCAGGAAGTGTTCCCTCTGCCAGGACCCCAAAATCTGGGACCCTGCCTTGCTTTAAGTGTCTTGTGGAAGCAAAGACAAAACAGAGGTGCAAGGAGGGAACTTGAATGGTATTAGAGTCCTGGTATGGCGGTGTGGGTTAATGCGCCAGACTGCAAAGCTGTTTGAACTGTAAGGTCGATGGTTCAAGCTCACTAGCTGCTCCTAGGAAACCCTATACAGGGTCACTATGGGTCGGAACCAACTCAATGGCCCTTAAAAACAACAACAACAGTCTGGTGGTTGGTGGTTATGTGCCGTGGAGTCAGTCCTGACTCATAGCAACCCTGTATAGGGTTTCCAAGGCAACGAGATGGATCAGCCAGGTGGCATCATTGATGGCATCAAGTGTGGCAGCGGTAGTGAGATTGGCCCAGGATTGGACATTGTTTCATTCTGCTGTGCATAGGGTCACTATGAGTCAGTTCCGACTTGATGGCACCTGACAACAACAAATCTTTATGGGAGCAGAAAACCTCTTCTTTCTCTTGAGGAACTGCTGATAGTTTCAAACTGCTGACGGTGAGGTTAGCAGCCCAACTTGTAAGCTCTACGCTACTAGATGAATAGTTGAGGTGGTGCAAAGACAGTAAAACATCCAGCACTTTATTGTGGCCCCTCAGAGGGTTCAACTGTCCTTTAGTTAGTGTTTGGATAAGATTGAAAGCTTATGGTCTCCATCTTTGGTAGGATTCTGAGCACGGGTTAACTTCAGAACGGTTTTTGCTATTTATCTTGGGTTTTGGTGTAAAAATTATTATTTTGGGGGAGCGTGGTGGCTCTGTAGGATAATTACTGGACTGCAAATCACTAGGTTGGCAATTCGAGCCCACCAGAGCTACTCCATGGGAGAAAGATGAGGCTTTCTGCTCTAACAGTGAGGGTCGCTATGTGTCGGGACCGATTCTATGGTACTAGACAACTATGTGTTATGCCCTCTATTTACATTTCAGTTTTTGAGTAAATACTTATTTACTATTTCTAGAACCATAGTGCTAAGGCAGTGAACAAAACAAAGTCCCTGCTTTTGGGGAGCTTACAATCTAATGGTAAGGAGTTCTGGTAGTGGAGTGGTTATAAATCGGGCTGCTAACCTCAAGGTTGTCAGTTCGAAACTACCAGCTGTTCCGCAGGAGAAAGATAAGGCTTTCTGCTCCCATAAAGATTTGCAGCCTCGGAAACCCCGTGCAGGGTCACTATGAGTCGGAACTGACTCCACAGTAGTTAACAACAACAAACAATCTAATGTTAGTTCATTTTTCTGCTTATGGCCACCTTGCAAAGCAGGTGATAATAACTTCCCCTCAGCTATAAAATGGGGTTAAGAGACTTGGCGTAAAGTCACTAGGGCAGTCAGTAGTGAGACCAGGTTTTAAATCCTGATTATCTGCCTCTACAGCCGAGGGGATTCCACAGTGCCCCATAAATCTGCCACTGAAGAATGAATGTTTGGGAGCCTGGCCAGCTGCCTTCCTGGCTCAGCAGCAGAGGAGAATTGGTTGCTGAAGACTCTGCCCTACACATCACCATTAGCTTGTGCCTGGGGAACAAACCTCTAGTCTCAAACCTCTAGTCTCCCTTGCTACTTCCTCAAATGACGCTCTGTTCCTAGGTTACCCAGTACAGGGTGTCCTCACCTCCCTATTGTGTAAGAAAGGCAGTACTTCTGATGAGCAAGGTGTTGCTACAGCAAGGGCTGGAAACTACAGCTCTACAAAGCGATTCGAGGATGATAGAGTGTACAAAGGGAGAGAGGGCTTCCTCTGCCCAACTGAAATTGAGACTTTTAGTCCTGAGGCTGACCGGTCTCCATTAGGAGAAAGAAATACTGTTATTGGACAGTAACCTATGTAGAGAAAAGTTCTCAAATGAGGAGTATCTAGATAGATGAACTTCACAAACCATAGCACACCCACGTACCTAGCACACAGATCACAAAGCAGTATCAGTAGCATCACTGAAGCTCCCTCCCCGTAAGGCAGTCACTGTTGCACTAGACTGTGAACCACAAGGTCGGCATTTCAAACCCACCAGCTGCTCTTCAGAAATGCTATACAGGG